TTCTTACTAAGAAAATTATTTTCTTATTTTAAGATTTTTTTTCTTATCAGTATCTTAGGATATCAATATCTTAGGCTATCAGTATCTTAGGATTCATAGGATATCAATATCTAAATCTTAGGATATCAATATCGTAGGATATCAGTATCTTAGGATATCATTATCTTAGGATATCAATATCTTAGGATATCAATATCTTAGGATATCAATATCTTATGATATCATTATCTTAGGATATCGGCTGAATATAGTTATCAATATCTTAGGATATCGTACAGTATCTTAGGATAGCAATACCTTAGGATATCAGTATCTTAGGATATCATTATTTTAGGATATCAATATCTTAGGATATCAATATCTTAGGATATCATACAGTATCTTAGGATATCATATTCTTAGAATATCAATATCTTAGGATATAATTTTCTTAGGATATCAATATCTTAGGATATCAATATCATAGGATTATTTATGTTGGTTTGATCATATCTACTATTTATGGAACGGTACACATACTTCGAATTCATCCACGAGCCGACAGCGCGAAGCGCCGTGCGAGGGTATTAATTCCCCCCGGCTATTTACACCCGGGGAAAGGAACGCACTAGCAAAGTCTAAAGTTCATCAAATATCGTGGGCGCATGGCTCACCGTTCATGGTTCATGGGTGGTCATCCTCACTGAACTCAAAATATGTAGCGGACTGTCGTGAATAGTGAACACTTATTGGTCAAATTTCAAATTTGCATTGTAACGACTGCATTGACGACAGCAAAATAACAAACATTTTTTGCAAGTTGTATTTTTGCAAGATTTTGTAAATTTCAAAACCTTTCTGAGAGCCTAAAAACGTCTAAAATAATAGGGCAAAGTCGCCGACGTTAATGAAGGTAAGTTTGTTTTAAATAATGATGTAATGTTTGTTTTATAATCGATATATTTATAACTGATAGTGGTGGGCGATACTGCGAATATCGAAGCTGATACTATCATTGCGTATATATAAAGTGAACAAAGGCAGCATATAATTTCAGTGTAGCTTTATTAATTACCCTTTCTTTTGTATATTAAATTAAAGTATTTAAATAAAGAGGAAACCAAAGTTATTTTGATGCGAGAATTTTAAATCAGTCTATTTCAAGCTCAAATCTCAATGTTTGTCGACAATTCGATAAAAGGGCGTTTAGTTCTAAGAAGATTTTAAAACGTTTTGCGAAGCATTTGTTGTTGAATTTTACATCAAATTGAAGCTTATATTACGTATAATAACATATCTAGCATATATATGATTGGGAAATTGATAATTTTGTTATTAAAAGTGATATTATGGCATTTATGGGGGGATTTTTCAATTTTAAAACTATTCTTAAAATTATCGTGTTACCATGACAACTACATTCAATTCTTCATATTCAGAAAACATAATGTGTTGTCAGTAAGGCGAGGGTTTCTGCATGCATGTATTTTCTAGTTTTACATTTGATTGTGAACCTGTAAACATGTCTTATCCCTGCGAGGTCTGTGGAAGACCGTTTTCAACACCTGGTAACCGTTCACGTCACAAAAAACAGATGCATAGCACCAGTACAGATGAAATAAGGTTAAGTGGTAATCGGCAATAGGTCCAGCGTTATGCAGCATCCTTTTACGTGCATCGTAGTTGGGTGTACACAAAGTGGCAAAACTGTATGGGTAAAATCTCTCTTGGAGAATGCTCAGACGACTATAAGTCCTGCTCCTCAACGTATCATCTGGTGTTATGGTCAATGGTAACCATCTTATTTTGAAATGTTGAGGACGATTCCTGAAATCGAGTTCAATAAAGGCATTCCAACAATTTAAAATAACAAAAACACCAAAACGTTATGCTCTTAGAAGTAGACCGTACTAAATTTTGTAAAACGTTTTGGAGAAATAAATGTATTTTAAAACTGAAACCTTGTGCATTTTTATTTCTGCAAAGCACCACCCGCGCGATTTGCCTAACCCGCCCGCCTGATTAGTGTGCAAATATGTTGTAAGCCAGCGTGGCCGGCTCTTTTATAATAGTGTGGCGGATATGTGCATGGATGTTTCCGAAGAGGGTTAAAAGCACCAAATTGTGCGCAGTAGCATCTTTTTATGAGTAGAACAACATGCAAAAGTGGGGCCATCGTGAAACTGTTTTTTTTAGAGAGCTACTACGATGCTGTTAGCATTATTTGCTATTAAATTCTACTACAACAAAAAATGTGAAATTTTGAATTCAATCGCGACAAATATAACTTGCATCATCAGAAAGCTGGTAAAAAACTACATTAAGGACTTTCAAACAGTTTTTTTTTATTCTTCCAATGGTTATTGCTGTAAATTAGGCACATTCTCTCGCTAAAAGTCCGTAATTAATTATTCGATTTTTGAAAATGCGTTTTTAACTGTTTATAATTCGAAAACTATTTCAGAAATAAAAAAAAACTGTCTATACGTCTTATATGCAGTTTTTTATAAGCTTTTTAAGTCATATCTGTGTAATTGAATACAAAATTTCACATTTTTTTGCTATAATAGAATTCAATAGAAGAAAATCACAAATCACCCGTTTTGAGGAGTTAGCAGCAAAATATCTATTAAGCAAATAAAACTACATTAATTGTAAAAGTTTGATGCTTTTAACCTCAACGGGAACTACTGATCAATAATTTTACACATATTCGCCTCACTATAAGTAGAGCCTGCCCGAAAGCCCTAGTGAAATTGATACCGCCTACTTAGTTAATATTCCATATTACACAGCAAAAAATCATTTTCTTATTAATTAAGAAAAAAATTCTTAATTTAAGAAATTATTTCTTAAAACGAGAAACGGATTTTCTTAATAAGAAAAAGATTCTTAAAATAAGAAATATTTCATTGGCAAGATATTTTTTCTTGAAATAAGAAAAAAAAAATTTTAACATATCTTGGATTATATTTGTTTTCTTAAACCAAGAATGTATTTTCCTACGATTTTTTCATCTTCATATCAATCATTTTGTTAAGAAAAGATGATTTTCTTGTTTTAAGAAATACTTTCTTAAAACAAGAAATCAAATTCTTAACATAAGAATTATATTTGTTTTCTTAAAACAAGAATATGTTTTCTTACGATTTTTTCATCTTCTTATCAATCATTTTCTTAAGAAAATAGTGGTTTTCTTGTTTTAAGAAATAGTTTCTTAAAACAAGAAATCAAATTCTTAACATAAGAAATTATTTCTTAAATTTTCTTGAACGGAAAGAAAATTTAAAATTTGTTAAAATTTAACTACAGGAACTATAGGATGGCATTCAATTCTTGTGTTTAAAGACATATATAACATATTTTGTATATAGATTCATTTTAATTGTATAATACTTATTTCTAGAATAATCTGCATATGTATTACAGGGACCGCGGAGACTGTTTTGAAGTGTGTGTGTGTGGGGGGGGGAGGAGAGGCAGGATAGCACGGGCAATAGCTCACGCAGGCAGGCTGGATTTTATACGGCCATGGCCCCCGCCTCCCCCTGTTCCGCGGTCCCTGTATTTTTGCATGCTTAGGAGAGAATTCGCAACTCGGAATTAATTGCGGCTGTGCACAAGATTAATTAAACATAAGAATTCTCCCCTATCGTATTTATCTTTGTTAATTAATTTGTTAACGTAAATCAGGGATGGATTTACTGGGGGAGGGGAGGTGTGGGGGTGTAACGCCCCCCAAGAAAAGTCAAGAAAGGGGTCCCAATTTCCCCCAGCTCGGGGGCCCCGGAATGAAACATTGAGGTCGAAAAAGGTCTGAAAAAGAAAGTTGTTTTTGAGGTGCCCCCCAATCCCCCTCCTAGATCATGCTGGATCCATCCCTGAGGTAAATTTGAGAAAAATATTGTGTTTTATTTTTATTAAAATGCTTTATTTGCCCCCCTCCTGCAGGAAAGAAGATATCTTTCACCTACATTCCGTCGCCCCTGATACCATACTATACATTCTAATTTACATTCTAAAGTTTGAATTTTTCTCGTGTTTTATTTAATAATTGCAGAGAATTTTCATGACTTTCCGATAATTTATTATAGATAAAATTAACAGTCAATAACTGATTGAAAATGCAGACATGCAAGCAGCAATAGTTCGCGCATTGCCTCGGGGCCTGGTGCCTAGTTTACGTTCAGAGCGCGAAGAGGTTCACGGGATAGCGTCGTTTCAAATTTTTTTTGTGCTATAAAGTGCCAACTGAATTCCAGTTCATATCTACAATATATTTATCACATTTTTCTATCCCAAACGACGGAAAAGGCATCGGAAAGGTCTTAAAATCTTATTCAGATCTCACAGGTAAAAATATTTTATTTTGATTAATTATTTAAGTACTTTAATTGCGAAAGAATGTGTGATTGTTCTTGAGTCATTTGCCTAAAATTCCGTTGAATGTTTGAATTTGCCGCGTTCAATTTGCATAAAAAACCCACGAAATGTTGGTTTCTGGCAATGAAAGAAAGAATAAAATATCAATTCGAATCCATTATAGCAAATTCTGTACTAAATTACGCACTAATGCACTATTATTAACAATTTAATAGCAATAAATATTGCCTTTGGCTGTTCGACATATAAATATATGGCACTCAACTTGACCCTTGTATATATTACTGTAAACATTCGAATGCCTTCAAAGATATGTTAGTATTTTAATATATGAATAAGGATTAGAATTACAGAAGAATTTATAAAGCTTTGAATGTAATTTGAATATAATATTTTCAGTGTTTTGATCTTAATAACCCATTAAGACCATTATAAAGCTTGCAAATGTGCCCAAATGCATCCCTGCTGTTGCTTTACTTTGCCTAGTGCCAGACAATTTCACTCGTCAAGGGGCCAGACAGTCTTGCAAGCCCTTAATGAACTTCAGTTTATAATGTGTAACATGTTTGTGACACAATGCCTGAAATGTTTGCTTTATGTATTTTCAGATTAATATTGGTGCTGGCCTATCGCCTGGCTCCAAATATTGTTCTCAACAATCAAGGAATTCTGGATTGAGTTCACAACCTGGTGTTGTAAGGTAATAATTAACAAGAATAAATACTGTAGTCTGCTTTTAGTGCTTTATATGAAGAAAATGACAAACTGGCCCAGCTAAAGTAGTCACCCAGGGTCTGTATATGAGCCATGCTGGCCCGTTAAACCGAGTTAGCTTGCATGGCCGGGCCAAGTTGTTATTTGTTTCACATGAGGCGGGCTAGCCTGACAAGTGCTACCGTATAAGAAATTACCAAACAATTTTATATATGGTGGGAAAGCGATATTTGTTTTAATTTTGAAAATGGTATTTTATCGAAGGAAACTGCTTCAGAAGTTTTAATATTGTTCATTAATGTTATTTTTTTAAATTCTTATATGCTTTCTACTGTAGATAGAATAAAGCATGCGTTGTGACACAATTGTCAATTGCCAGTCTGGTTTGCCGGGCTGGCCGGGAAAGGCGAGATCTTGCCTTGCTCAAACGGGAGCCCATCAAATTAACCAGGCCAGCCCGGTTCTCATGCGAATCAAATCTCAAAAACATAAAAACAATATACATGTACAAGACCAGATCTCGGCACTTGCAAGTCGGTCCAGCCAGACGAATCAGCCTTGATCTTGTAAACAGCCCATGTAAGGACCTTGTATGTAGGAATTATTACATTTCTTGATACTGCATAAAAAATTTAGTAAATATTAACAACACAATTACATGTGAATCCTAAATCTACCCCCAATGCAGCCCATTGTAAGGCCTGTTGGCACTGTACTCAATTTTGGTATCCGTAACATGTTTACCATGCTTGGACTACCGTACTCCTATTCACGCAGGCTGAGCATGGATAAATTTGGTACAGGTACCAAGTTTATCTGTGCCATACTTGGCGTAAAAAAATACCTGTGGTTCCGGTTCCCGATCGACCCTATTTTTTTCTGCCCACCCTATTATTTTTTCAAAGTAATTGACTGTGTGACCCTATTTTCTCCAGATGGTTGTGGGCTGCTGCCAAATGACATCTGTTGTCACACTAATTATTGAAAAATCCATGAAAAAATATTTAAAAAAAAAGGTATTTCCAACCTACCAACCCTAATTTTTTTGCGATATGAAACCGGAACCACAGGTATTCTTTTACGCTCTACTAGATTAATCTTGCTATCTCAATGCCAAACAATTGTACAGGGTCCTGATGTATTAACCCAATTAGTGGCAGCACTCTTCCCCTGAGTCCCTGACGAGTTAAATCGTCTGGCATTAGACAGAGTAAAATAATAAAGTAGGGCGCATCTTGGTGCATTGGCACTTAAAGGGTTAATGTAATGTTACTGCACTACATTGATGCTAACTGTATTATGAATTAAAGTTATTTAAGAGAAGACAGTCAGTTGAGTATCATATTTAGTCCACAAGATATATTCCCCTTTAAACAGGAACTGTTGCATGACAGATCATAAATTAATTGACATAATCTACTTGGCTAACTAATAATTATTAGACAGTAGTGCACAATGCAACTAAATGGTTAATTTGACACATGGGCAGATAGTCTGATTAACCCATTGAGCATGACTGCTTTCCTCTTGACAAGTAAAGTTATCTGGTGTTAGACAGAGTAAAATAATAAAGTATGATGCAACAAAATTTAGTGTCTGGTGAAACTAAGCTTGCTGATTAATAGTGATTATTGGTTATTACTTTTTAAAATAACATGGGTCCAAGGTCTTTGCCAGAAGAAGTTGCGCCAGATGGTGGTTTGCCTAATACCAGATGGTAGCGGGTGGTGCCCAGATACCTGATGGCACCAGATAGTAGTCTACAGGGTTTTTTCCAGGAATTTTTCTTGGGTCCATTTTTGCAGAGAAGATTGAGTTTAGCTGAACAGCTGGGGTGGCTGCACCCCCCCCCCCCTACCGCGGGAGGCTGACACCTATGCTCAATAAATGTAGTTGAGATGGAATGTGTTAAAGCAGGGTCACTAAGGGACACTATAAACTGGTTGAAGATGGCGAATGCATAGTTTTTCTTGTGTTGCAAGATGGATTCCAGCCATTTCTTAATTGTCGGGCTTCCAACTGAAAACTAATTTAGTAATTTCCACACGTCACAAAATTTTATAACTCAAACAACTTCATCTTCATGAGAATATTGAGTTTCAAAACTCAATTCAAGATTCAATTTTTGGGCCCGTTTGACGGCCCTAAAAAAACCCTGGTCTACTGGGTACAGGTCTGGAGAAAGCCTGTCTCTGGTTAACATATGTGTATTTGTCATACCCTGCATCACCTTGTACATACAAATGAAATATGAACTGGCTTTGTTATTGGTTAAATAAAGGCTGTTTATTACATCCACAGTTAGTAGTCCCTTTTACACTGTAGGTTAATGATAAGTCTCAAGGTCATTGTTCTGGCATATTTTGTATAAAGTAATGATTACATTTTCAATAAGTAAAATTTTTCTTTTACAGATTCTAAGATGATTGATCTTTGATGGCAATTGCATGCTGTGTTTGGAACAGTATTAATTAAATGTACATGAGGAAATCAATGGACTTGGTGAATGAACAATGGTATAGATAATATTGATTGTGAAATGGACAAAATGTTAAACAAAATATGGCTTCAGGAGAAACCAGGGTTTTTTCAGGGATTTTTTAGGGCCCTTTAAACAGCCCCAAAAACTCAATCTTGAATTGAGTTTTGAAACTCAATCTTCTCATCAAAGTTTCAGTGCAGTAAAAATGAAGTTGTTTGAGTTATAAAATGTTGTGACGTGTGGAAATTAGTTTTCAGTTGGAAGCCCGACAAGCCATCTTTCACCAGTTTATAGTGTCCCTGTTTTAACACATTCCGTCTCAATTACATTTATTGAGTACAGGTGTCAGCCCACCGGTAGGGGGGGGGGGATGCAGCCACCCCAACTGTTCAGCTAAACTCAATCTTCTCTGCAAAAACGGACCCAAGAGAAAATCCTGGAAAAAACCCTGGGAGAAACTCAATTCACTACAACACATTGCTGTGCTATCAGAACTACTATAATTTCAGTAAATATACAAGTTATTTTCTTAGAATGAGAGTTTTTTTTCTTAAACTGAGAATGTTAGGTGTAAATTTATCTTATTTTTTTATCTAGTCAAAAGTATCTAGTTTTAAGAAAGTTAATCTTAAAATAAGATATATTTTCTTAAAACAAGAAAATGATTCATCTAGAAATATTTTCTTAATTAGAATTTTTTTCTCGCTATTCTCCCTAGTAAAAATTTTCTTGTTTTGAGAAATATTTTCTTAAAACAAGTTATATTTTCTTAATTTAAGATTTAATTTCTTATTATTTAAGAAAAGTTTTCTTAATTTAAGAAAAATTTTCTAGTTCTAAAAAAATTTCTTATTTTAAGAAAAAGTGCACTAGAAAAATGTTTCATTATTTTCTTGAAATGAGATATATTTTTCTTAAAACAAGAAAATATGTTTTCTTATTTTAAGAAATATTTTAAGAAATATTTTCTCAGTTAGAAAATATTTCTCGCTATTCTCCCTAGTAAAAAAATTCTTGTTTTAAGAAAATATTTCTTGAAACAAGTTTTTTTTTTCTTGAAATAAGAAAACGATTTTTTGCTGTGTAGTCCACAGGGAAATTCTCCACAGGGAAAAGCGGGGTTGATGAATAGAATTGAATGCCTAATTAAAAATGCAAGGTATCTAACTCCATAGTGACCACTTTTAGAGGTCACTATGGAGTTAGATACATGGAATTTGTAACAGAACTCAAACCACACATCTCCTTTTCGACTAGAAAACGCTGCGTGTCTCTGAGTCGAGAAAGAGACAACAGCCGTGTACCTCAGAGCCCGTCAAACTCTACCTTTGGGTAGAGTATTTATCATTCGGTGCACGAGGACTAGCTAAACGAACCATCAAACCTGTTTGTGCAAGCAATTTATACAGTAATATCTGCTCTTTCGCTTGTGGGACGCGAAATGATATACTACGCATGTTCAACCTTATTTCGTTCCACAACCACAACCTCCCGAGGACAATAGAAAATGGATATAAACAACATAAAAAGCTCATGCATGGTCGGTCTTTCATTGAAATTCAAGAAAAACCCTCCCAGTGAAAGACCTGCGATTCGGTTTTTATCCTATATATAAAACCCTGTTGAGAACAACTTGAGAATCTCTGCTTCGACAAACCCGTACAAATCTTCGTTAGCGCTTCTCGGTTGTATGAGCTATTTCAAACATATTTCATCGGAATTGTTGTTGGTGAAACAAACGTCGGCCCTTAGTCAGATAAATCCCTCGGGGCCTACGGCCCCTCGGGTTTGTATCTGACTAAGAGCCTCCGTTTTCGGTATCTAACTCTTACTTAACACCGCCCACTCGAAATAGTTTTGTACAAATGATGACTTGAAATGTCAATTGTTGCATATTTACTATAGCCTGCGCTACATGCTTTCAATAATGTTTTACAATAGATGGATAGCGATTCAACTGCCTGGAAATACAAACAAAACGTCGGCATTTCGAGCGAAGGCTCTTCGACTTTGTCTGGAAATTAATAGTAGACGAGGACCGTTCAAAATTACATTATGCTTTGCACCTGTATGGCTGTGCCACAGTTATAAATATTGCAGTATTAAATATAATAAATGACTTAGGAAAAGTAAATAGACCCCTTCCCGCATACACGTTGGCAGGCAAATGTATTTTAAAAGCTCCAAAGAGAGCTTCGTATTATTATGGTGTATTAAACACAATGGGGAATGCGTTATTTTAGATAATTGTAATTTGCCAGCCAACAAAATATAAACAAGGCAAGGACAGCCAAGGACTTATACTCTATATTATAGTGACCATACGGTAAAATCATACGACATATGCAGTATACGTAATAGCAGTATGGCTTGCCTTATTCTGTTTAGATACCGGTATATGTTATACATTTTACACTTTGTCTTTTGAATTTCATATTTTAGCCGACATGTTTACACTTGAATAGAGCCATGCCGGTCAGCACTAGATCATAGACCAGAGGAGGAATGAGGGTCTTCTCGAAATGCAGCGCGCGAATCAGTGCGGCTCATTATTATTCAAGCTATTTATTCTCAACGCGCCGTTCGATTAAAAACTATTGAAATATATTGCGATTTTTGCCGTGAAGATCTCGTTTTCTCAAAGATATGTTTCGATAACCTTTTTGTTTACTTATTTAATAAAAGAAGTTTTGATTAATTTTTTATATATATCACATTTTACTTATGTTAAATTCCCGCTGTATTTATGCATGTTTGGGGTGTTGGAAAAGTGGCCGTGAAATATTCTGGAGTAAATTGTACTTTTTTACAAACACTAAAATAAAATTACATCAGTGAATTCAGAAATGTTTACTCTTTATATTGATACTTTAAAACATGAATTTACTCCATAAAACCGAAGAGTTATAATAATAATAATAATAATGAAAACTTTATTAAATGGATATTTAGCTTATATATACAATTGCAAATCTCACTTATATCAGGTAATTTACAACTGGCTACTTAAATCACTGATTATATATGAAAAAATTATACTATTAAGATAACAAAATGACAGTACAACGTTTAAACACTTAACAGTTCCGGATTCATCCACTCCTTGTTTCGACAACAAAATATATAATACGTTGTTCGGATTGCAATCGTCGTCATTCTTCTAATACAGTAATTCTGATGTTGCTTTTGAAAACCAAAATCATTAAGCATTTCTATGAAAGTAGAACATTCTTTACTGAAAACACCAAGAGAACTAATCGAAAGATTTACAAATTTTACTGAGTTGAAATGTTCATTTTGTTCCCTAATTAATTCTTTATATTTTGATTTTTTACGCTCAACGTTTTTTGAAGATTTGATTCGAAGCCAACTGTAAGTTCAACAATATAGAGTGTTCCGGTTGAGGTTGAAAGAAGCAAATCTGGACGGTAGGTGTCACCAGTGATGATTGATGGACTTTTGTACCCTGGTAGATCCATGTAAAGATGTGAGCCGCTTACGGTCTGCAGGCTTGTTGCGAGAAAGTTTAGAACGGAGTCATGTCTCCACGTGAATCGTTCTAGATACGATTGGCAACCAGCTACTACGTGCTGAAGTGTCTCAGGAGCTAGACATCGCGAACAGTCTGAAGTCGGTGATAAACCCCATCTTGCAAGGTTTTGGCGCGTTGGAAGGGAGTTATTGATGTATCGAACTGTAAAGTTGAATATATTTTTCGGAAGGTTCGATTGGCACGCACACCAAATTTTAGTGAGTTGGGACAGTGAGAACTTTGTTATATTAGTGAAGAAAGAGCCTTGACAGGTTAATTGAGTATGCAGTTTATCCTCTTGTCCAGAGCGAAAGTCCTTAAGAAAAAATAATAATAATAATAATAATAATGGAAACTTTATTGAAATTATATTCGTATATATACAATTATAAATCTCACTAATTTAGGTAATTTATAATTGACTACTTGAATCTACTTAATAATTATATATTAATAATGAGTATCCTTAAATGTTCAGTAATTCCGGATTTAACCAGTCCTTATCTCTGCAACAAAATATATAATATGTTGTCCTAATCGCAATAGACATAATTTTCCTGATAGCGAAATATTGGTGTCTTTTATCAAGACCTAGATCAGTTAACATATCTAAAAAGGAATGACATTCTTTTGAGAAAACGCCTAAAGAACTAATTGACAAATTTACAAATTTTACGGACTTAAATTGTTTCTTTTGCTGTGTAATGAGATCTTCGTATCTTCTTCTTTTGGATATAGGATAGGATATAGAGACAATCCGAGTTGATAGATAGAAGTAGGTCTGGGCGGAATGTGTCACCAGTTACAATTGATGGGCTTTTATAACCAGGAAGATCGACGAAAAGATTGGAGTTGTTTACAGGTTGTAGCGTTTGTGCTATGAAGTTCAGAACAGAATCATGTCTCCATGTAAATCGTGGGAGGTACATTTGACATCCAGCAACTACGTGTAAAAGGGTTTCAGGGTTTAAGCAGAAGGAGCAATCAGAGTTGGACAATATTCCCCATTTAGTAAGGTTTTTACGAGTTGGAAGTGAGTTATTAATGTAACGAATGGTGAAGTTATAGATGTTCTTTGGGAGGTTTGATTGGGATTTAGACCATATGCCGTTTAATTTCGACAGTGAAAACTTAATGACATTTGAGAAGAAGGAGCCTTGCAAAATGAGATGATTCTGCAGTTTGTCTTCTTGTCCGGAGGTAAAAGTATTAAGGACTTCCTTTGCTTTCAGATGTTGTTTTCCAGAGGTCTTTTATGGAATGATTTGGAGAGGTCTTTAAGGCGTTACGAGCAACTGTTTGGCACTGAACAAACTTAATTGACGGCGGGTAGATATTTAGACCAAACTTGTTACTGGTAAGGTAGACGTTAGATAGAGTTCCTGATATAGGTATTTCAAGCCATTTACGTACGTACTTGTTCACCACAGAATCCATATTTTCAGAGACCCAGGTTTTTGATAAGGTTTTTGGTTTTTTGTATTATTATTATTAATAATAATAATAATAATAATAATAATAATGGTTTATTATTATGTAAAATGGCACCAATTGGTGAATTACTTTACATTTACATGTAGAGAATCCAAAATCTATATATATATAAATTACTACAACTTACTATACTGCAATAAAATGTCTAAAAATGGTTTGAGCTTATCTATTTGAGTTGCAGTAACTAACGTTAGTTGGGAAAAAACTGTTTTTAAACCAATTTGTGTTACATTTAAAAATGTCGAGATTTTCACTGTTTCGAAGTTTTCGGCCATGTTTCTGAAATCTGGTTTCTGGTATGAGATACGACAGACGATCACCACTAGTCGACTTAATTTGTTTAAAAAGTTTTTGAGATAATTGTTGTCTATTTTTCGCTAATGACAGACAACCAGACATTGAAAGTGCATCATTATACGATTGAAACGGATATATAATTCGGAAAGCTCTTCGTTGAATTTTCTCAATTTTATCAGACAAGTACGTCAGAAGACTCGAGTGCCGGACTGGGCAATCATATTGTAGGACTGATCTGATTAATGTTTTGAAGATTGTTATTAGATCATCAACAGGAAGTCCATTACGCTTTAAGACACGTATGATATATAACCGTTTAGCAGCTTTCTTTGTAATATTGTCAACATGACTTTTCCATTTCAAGTCATTCTGAAGAGAAACTCCAAGAACTTTAGCGCTATCGACAGTGTCAATTGGAGCACCATTGATGTAGAGTTGGCAAAGGTTGGGTTTATAGCGAAGAAAACTTATTCTAAGTTCTTTACATTTTTTCGTGTTCAGTTTCATATAGTTGTTAGTGGTCCAAGATGATATATGGTCCGGTTCTGACTGCATATTTGAAACACCATTTCTTGGTATTACCTCCGAAATCGACATGTCGTCTACATATTTCCAATAATCGCTCTTAAGTGGAATAAGGTCATTTACCATAATAAGGAACAAAATAGGACCTAATTTAGTGCCTTCTGGAACTCCTGCTTTTACTGACATCCAGTCCGATACCGTTTCTACGAGTTTTACTCGCTGTTTTCGATCTGATAGGAAATTACATATCCAAGGGATCAAACACATACGTACTCCTAAATTTAAGAGTTTTTCAATCAGGATATTGATGTTAATACGATCAAAAGCCTTGCTAAAATCGAGAAGACAGACTCGTAACGAATTTCCTTGTTTATCAGCATTTGATAGCCAGTTGTGTAGCATATCCAGAAGGCATTTTGTTGTAGATCCACAACCTATTATTGAACAAACTTAACGGTCATGGAATCGGAGGTCCTCTCTTGCAATGGTTTGACAGCTATCTTTCTCACAGGTGTTAACGTGTAATGCTGGAGGGTGAATTCTCAGACTGGCTGCCTGTAACATCCGGAGTACCGCAGGGATCAATCCTAGGGCCTCTATTATTCATTATCTATGCCAACGACATGCCCGACTGTTTATCTGGTGAATCAAAATTAGCTCTTTTTGCTGACGATTCTAAACTGTTCAGATCTATGTCGTCTAGACGTTCTTCTGCTAGACTTCAGTCTGACCTTAACAGTTTATTTCAATGGAGTGAGGATTGGAAAATGTCTTTTAACATCTCAAAATGTCAGGTACTGCACATGTCCAGGAAACGAACACCAAGCCATACCCATACGAATTATCACCTTGGGGGACAAGATCTACAAGTGGTAATCGCTACTAAAGACCTTGGAGTGACCGTTTCCAATAATTTATCGTGGTCTACCCATATCATCCAGATGTGTGCAAAGGCCAACAGAACTCTAGGTCTTATTAAACGTGTCTGCGGCAATGATATAGTAGATCAAGAGACCCGGAAGCTATTATATATCACTCTGGTAAGGTCGCAACTCGAATACGCTTCAAATCTCTGGTCTCCGTACACAATAAAGAAACGTGCACTAATTGAAAATGTTCAAAGGAGAGCAACTAAATTCATCTTAAATCACTACAGCCGAGATATCTCCTACAAGGACAGATTGTTAAAATTGCACCTGTTGCAACTTGAATTTAGGAGAGAGATCTCCGATCTCATTTTTCTATATAAACATAAATGTGGGATACTTAACGTGGACTTTGGTTGTCTATACAAGCCTGTTTGCCCCCATTATAATACTCGTCGAACGTAACAGATAGTTATAACCTTCGTGAATTATTTAACCACAAACAGTGTTACTATCAAAATTCATATTTTCCAAGATCAGTAAAATTATGGAACAATCTTCCACATGAGTTGAAAACTTGTAATCGGAGTGTTGCTCTTTTTAGGAGACAACTCTGTTCTATTTACAATGAAAAACTCTTAACATACTCTCCGCCTTAATTTAGTACTAGATAATTTTTCATTATTGCTTTTTATATATATTATAGTATACATTAAATAGCTTTAGATATTTTAACTGCATGTAAGGGGAAGATATCAATTGGGATTTTATCCTGTTTCTCCTCCTGTCGCTAATATTGTAATTTTTTGTGACAAATGTTAATAAATTCAAATTCAAATTAAGGCTACCAAACTGTTTGGCATCAATCTTATCACATATATCTTCAGTAATCCAGTCAACAACAAATTCTTCAAGAACTTTTGAGAGGGTTGAAGTTAAGGAAATAGGACGAAAATTACAAAGGATTTTAGGTGGACAATCTTTGGGAATAGAGGATATATTTGCATGTTTCCAAATTTATGGTACAACACCTGACGACAATGAAACGTTGAAGATTTGAGTGATGGGTTCTGCTAAGATATATGCAAAAGACTTTAGAATTTTTGACGGGATGTGGTCTGGTCCAGGGGCTTTCATAGCATTCAGCTTCAAAAGTTTATTGCGTACTTGATATGGTTGAATAGTTGGTATCTGATCTATTGATGGTAAAAACGCAGGTAAGTTATGTAGATTAAGTGGTGGAATGTCAGCATTTACCGAGGTGAAGAATTCATTCAGTTCATTAACTAAATCTTGATCATTTAAGATAGAGCCATTTTCTCAATGTGAAAGGGTGTCGATGTGTTTGCATTGCCAGACAATCTTTTCACAAGTTTCCACCACAACCTACTATCTGTCTGTTTAAGATGACGCCCTTTTTCGGAGTAAAATGATTGTTTCTGGGATATGATCGCTTGTTTTACCTTATTGCGATAATGTTTCCACAAGGGCATATTACCGTTGTGGAAAGCGTTTTGGCGATCCAAGATAAGTTGTTTAAGAGATGAACACATTCATGGCTTATAAGAGTTATGGAGCTTCGCTGATTTTAGTGGAAAAAAGATATCCACAGCTTCCAAGATCTTGTTAGTGAATATGAGGGTTTGTTCATGAACGTCTGTTGATGTGCAATCACGCAACAACTCCTGGTTAGTTAACCACCTACCAAATGCGATAATACTTGACTGGGGAAAGCGGCGTACAAAGCATTTCTCTTCTTTTGGTTAGGGTTATTTGTTGCGGGTTTTGGGTACCATAAAACTGTGTTATGATCTGAGCTCCCTATTGGGGATGTTACGCTCGGATCATTATACCATGTCTGCATGTTAGTGATCACAAGGTCAAGTGTTGCGTTAAGTCTTGTAGGATCTTTCACTACTTGGTTAAACTGTGTTGACTCAGTAAATCACTTACATCCAGGTTATTATAGTCGCCCAGCACAATTATTCCACAATCTGGGACACTATCAATAGTTTCACTTAAATAATGAACAAATTCTCGCTGTTTATCGGCACATGTTTCAGGAGGACAATATAGAACAGCAATGAGTATACCACAGAGGGGCCTTGGCAGACGATAATGTCGCAACCATAACCACATACATTCATAATTTGCGTTTTCTAGATCAAGTAACCGTTTGCATGGTATGTTTTCAGAAACAAAGGCACAAACACCGCCTACACGACCGCTCAATCTATTCAGACAATATAAATCATACCCGGTGATAGTGACAAATAACGAATCTATTTGTTCATTCAACCAAGATTCGGAAATGGCAACAATGTCGGCTTTGTTTAACATTAAAAAAGTAGACAATTCGTCAAACTTGGGTACTAATGGTCTTATATTACTAAGTAGGACATGAGGTAAGTGAGAAGAAGTCTTATTACTGTTTTCCGGATGACATTTGATTGATACCAAATTATTCCAATTCACCGTTCCGGTTGTATGACCCCAGGCAGAGCGGCTTTCTCTGCCTCGAGGGGAAATAATGACAGAGATTTTACGTTTACCACCACGCGAACCTCTATAACGTAGCAAACCCAGATCTTTAAGTGTTGATAATAAATGGTGGTTGGCTCGTGTAATACACTGACGGCGGATATCAAGTAACTTGCTTCGATTGTAGGTTATTTTGTCAACAACTGCAGTTTGTATAAATGTTCCGCAATTTTGACTTTGACCTTGAGATATATTCGACTCCAAACCCGAGTGTACAGGGCCAGGATTTCGACAAATATCCACGTAAATCGTTATATCTACGGGAGGATCATGTCCTGGGGTCAAAAGGTTGATTATTCCATGCTTTGACCACTTTATAATACCAGTTCTGCAACCGATAAAACCACTGCGTACGAGGTTCCATTTCATTGACTTCGAACGAGTTATCGCGGTTTGAAAATGAGCTATTTTTGCTAATTATCGATAATAGCAAAAATAACTCATTTTGAAACCGCGACAACTCCTCGGTTTTATGGAGTAAATTCATGTTTTAAGGTATCAATATAAAGAGTAAACATTCCTAAATTCACTGATGTAATTTTATTTTAGTTTCCTTGTAAAAAAGTACAATTTACTCCAGAATATTTCAATGCCACTTTTCCAACACCCAAAACATGCATAAATACAATGGGAATTTAACATAAGTAAAATGCGATAAATATATAAAATTATTCAAAAATTATTTTATTAAATTACTAAACAAAAAGGTTATCAAAACATACCTTTGAGAAAACGAGATCTTCACGGCAAAGATCGCAATATATTTCAACAGTTTTTAATCAAACGGCGCGTTGAGAATAAATAGCTTGAATAATAATCAGCCGCATTGATCGTGGGTTCGATTCACCTCTAAGATCTTGGGTTCGATTCTCGCTATGGACTCATGCATGACACTTGTGTGCAATAAAACGATACGTGAAACTGCAATACATACAAGTCAGCGGTATTTCAAGTGTAGTGAACTTTATATAAACGCAATAAAAACATCATTACAAATGATGCATGCATTTAATACAAATAAACAAATTACAAATGGAGATTTAAAGATGGTATTAAGGTAAACAAGAAACTATAATATAGATAAATAGGTATGTGCAAAGCGAAATATATATTTACTTTTATTACCTATTTGGGGTTAATTTAAAAATCATTTTAACTCATAAACATTATATATACCGTAGCCAACGTGTTTTTATTTTACAAGGGAAAAATATAGCCCACATGGGGCATAGTATTTAATAATATTGGTGACATATTCATAGGAAAACACATGGTGGTTAACTTTGCATGTTTGTCGCTTTATATGCCTTGTGTAAGGGAGCAAATTTTGTTAAATGTTCTGTATTTGCTATTGAATACAAGGTGGATTAATATAATGAATAATGAACTCAACCCAATAGTTGCGTTTCCTAGTTTTGGAGTTGACCACCAAGTGCTAAAGTGCCACATGATTCAGCTATGATTCACCCAACTATGGTCGCATCACTGTTTAGTCTGTTAGTCACTCTTTTAATCTGTCTGATGCAATTGGCCATTACTAATTAACATTTGAATCTTGCAGTCCGGCTTGTCGAATTGACTATTAGAGCAACATAAATAAGAAATATTTACTAATAATTAGTAATAATTATTAGTTAGAAATATTAATAATATTGCTTTAGGGAATACTGTACAGTAACCTAGCCAGAGCCGGGGAACCCCCCCCCCCCCTCAGAAAATGTTGCCCCCCGCCCAAACCATCCAACATTTTCATGCCTTAATTGGTTAAGCTGTCCCTCCCCCTGGGTACACAAATTTAAAATTTCAAAGTCTGAGTGCATATTTTTGGAAATACAACATTTGAATTTTTCTTATATTTTCCCTTATAGAAATTATGTACAATAACACAGAAAATTTTTAGTAAAATGTTCAAGGAAAAGGATCTTCCAACAGCAGCAGATAACACAGCAAATCTTTAGTAAAATGTTCAAGGAAAAGGATCTTCCAACAGCGGCAGATAACACAGTAAATTTTTAGTAAAATGTTCAAGGATAAGGATCTTGCAACAGCGGCAGATAACATAATAAATCTTTACTCTTTCTATCGCTAGATGATTTTGCTCATCAAGGGGAGTCTTGCAACTTAATAGGTTAATGAATCAGTTGGTTATTACAACCAATTTCAACTTAATTCATATTTAACATTCACTTTAACCCATTTACTGGTAGCACTCTACCACTGACAAGTAATTAATCGTCTGGCGTTAGACAGTGTAAATACTAAGTAAGGCACATTTGGGCACATTCACATTGTCAGTTAATGAGTTTATATTAACAATATTAAAAACAGACTAGGGTGTCAAAGGCTAGGCGGATGCTTATTTGCCTGCAACAAAGCATAAAGTGGGACTGCCACATGATCATTGCTAGATTTCAGCAATGAAGGGAATCAATATGTTAATAAAATAATTATTATTAATAAAATAATTGTTAGAAATTGTTGGGTTGATAATTATTGGGTTTGGTGCCTCCAAGGAATCCATCCACCTAACCTTTGACATCCTAGTCAACTGTTTTTCACATGTTGTTAATATTATTAAATGTATGAAAATATTAAAAGTTGAAATATGTTGTGCTATATATATAGCAGATTATGCGTGATTATGCATATATAGTACATGAAATGAACATTAGATGACTAAAGCTGGCCTAGTTAGCCAGGCATAATTATCTTCAGAGTCTTGGTTAACCAATATCTTGACTCATATGATAACAATTTCTATTCTGGCAAGGCAGGATAGCCTGGCTCATATGAACAGGGCCTAAGATGATACATCTTAACTTCATATACTATAGTGTTTTATTGATATCTTGAAAGGCCAGTGATGTATATATTAAATAATATGAAATTGTATGAAATGTATATAATGAATGATTAGAGACTCCCGGTCAATAAAAATGGAAGACAGGGACGGGGGCCAGTGGCATAATAGAGGAAGAGAGGGAGATCTTATATTTATATTGAATGTGAGATCTTATATTTATATTGAATATTTATCAGTAGAATGGAAAATTCTATGTCTATAACAATGATAATAACCGTCTCCAACACAAGTAACAATGAACTTTTAAGAATAACTTTTGTTGTATTTGAGATGGAATACCATCGTCGATAGAGGGTTTATTATTTAGCATTATTAATTTTGTATTTTTCAATCGATTCTTAACCTGCATTTTTTTACGTTTTCTAATTTTCTGGGCAATAGGCCATGGCTGATGGGGGCCCTTAACTGTCTGGGGCACTTAGTTTTTGAACTCACCCTACCTAGTGAGCTTTACACCACTGAGGGGGGAGGTGGATGAGAAAAGGGAGGCTTGAACTATTTTTACCATTACCTATTTTACACCAACTAAGTAACAATGTTGGAGGGGGTGCTAAATTTCTAAATGAAGGTGGGGGCATCTTGAAAATAAAGGTCTTGTGATTGGGGCGGCTCTAAAAAATGTTCAATATTTGGTATATATCACCCACTGGCCCCTACCTCCCATTATTAATGAGTAGTCCCCTATGAAAGGTTTTATCCAGTAACATTTACTATATAATTCTAAAGCACATGCATCTTTCGACCTTTATAAAGACATACTATATTTTTATATGAGTGTAGTACTGCAGTCAATCAATAAAGGATTTATGTATGCATAATTTGGATCTTTCATATTAAAATATTGCACACACGGTGCATATTTCGTATGAATATTTATAAGGCAAATTTACATATTGAAATTAGTTCACTTACCAAAAAGTGCATTTGATTTGATACATCTCCAACCACTACTTATCCATATTTTGTACTCTTCAAATTTCTCAAGCATTTTTGCTTCTGAAGCGCAAACAAGCACCCGGTCACTCTTCGATGGAAGCCATATTGCTTTGGTTTCGCGCGTTTTTTTCCAATTTTGCGCACTAATATATTTGAATTTTAAAGATAGAATACCGCTGACTCGTATGTATTGCAGTGTCAGATTTGTACGTATCTTGTCTATGGTCTAGTGCCGACCTAGCGATGCCGTTTGTTTTTACTGTATTTTTTTAAAATTTTTGAATAAATTAGCGTAACATGACAATGTCATTTAGATTTGATTTGATTGATGTCATTTAGATTTGATAGTCATTTAGATGAATTATGTAAAAAGGTAGCAGCTGGAATTGGGGCTATAAAACGACTAAGGCCATATTTTAACCGTCTCACTCTCCTATCCGTTTATTAAGCTCTGGTTCAACCGTATTTTGACTATTGCTGTCTTGTGTGGGATCCAATTGGTTCCACGCTTACATCGATTACAAGTACTCCAAAATAGGGCAGCAAGGGTCAACCTAGGATATAGAAATGAACATGGTCAGTCTGAAGCCGCTTTGCCTGAATTGAAATTGAAAACGTTAAAAGAACGCAGATTAATCTTTAGGGGCAAGTTTATGTACAAAATTGCTCATGCGCAAGCACCACCTGTTTTAACCGATATCTTTGAAGACTCATCTGCTCCTCAACATAATTACAATTTAAGAGACCATGATTTCAAGTTTTACTTACCAAAATCAAAAACAGAATACTTAAAAAATAGCATCCGGTATAGTGGAGCAAAACTCTGGAACAGCTTACCTTGCGAGTTAAGAAGCGCAAATTAATTAAATCTATTCAATTCGTTGATTTCTGATACTAGCCTGCAGTCTTAAATCTATCATTATATCTTTATTTAACCATGATTTAACTAATTGTAAAATTTAATATGTAAGTGTAACTATTGTATATATTTTATCATCACGCTCCTCTTGGAAATCAGCAAATGCTGAAGGGGTTATAGCGTGTTTAAATAAAGTTTTATCTACACCTACAACCTGTCATCAACGTAAATTCAGCCAATCACAATTCACGGCGGCTGGCTGCCGAGAGTGATCAATTTGATGGGTTGCGATCACTGGTCTACTATTAGATCAGTGGCTGGGATAAAACGCGGATGCGGACGGACATGCGGATGGACATGCGGACGGACACGCGGAAGGACATGCGGACGGACACGCGGACGGACATGCGGACGAACATGCGGACGGACATGCGGACGGACATGCGGACGGACATGCGGACGGACATGCGGACGGACACGCGGACGGACACATGGACGGATATGCGGACGGACGGACGGACGGACGGACGGACGAAAGGATAAAATTCGGATGCAGACAAAAAGGATAAAATGCGGACTGTTTCTTTGCCCTAACATAATTCGTTATTTCGGAGACACAATTCATAGACTTAGTACACGGTATATTCCAGCTGGAGTTTCAGCCGCTTGCCGAAAATGCATTCCGAAAATGCATTGTAATTTCATTTTAGTTAGTAAATCCAAGGTCATAGAGAATTGTGCTGGGTTTTTCTCCCCGTAGTAAAATACCATTACGGTGGTGTTGATTTCTGGATGAAAACAGTATGAATGCAACATAATAATATAAGAAATGCACAGAGCTAGTCCTGATGCCTTACCCGCGATATATTTTACGGAAATTCCAACGCAAAAAATATATAACAACAAAGTAATTACAACAGGCTGTTACGAATGTAATAATCAAATCAATATTAAAATACATGTAGTTATGCAACTCAGGTGAGTTAATGACTGGGTCAAAAAGTTAATAGTTTCCAGTGCCTTTTGGGAAAGTAGCGAATTTAGGCGTACAATTTCCGTCTTTTTTTTCGAACATGGCGTCGATGAGCGTGGTGTTTATGATAGATCGAAGATTTTGGCAAGAAACTGTTTCTGTATTAATACCGATCGTGGTTATAGTTTGTTCAAAGGTTTGTACTCTATTTATTGGTACTGTTCTCCTAGTGTAACCTTTAAGGCTTTGTAGTTGAGCTTTGTTTTATATTATATTTTATAGGCATTATATAAAATTCTATAATACTGTCATTGAAAGCCAGTATTAGGAAGGATTCTAGCTTGTGTTTATACTAATTCTAACAATGGCCATAGCCCATATTCCCTGGTCGCTAGTAAACAGATTTACTCACAAAATTCTGGGAGTAAATCATATATCTTACCTTCTGAGAGTTGCACTTTAATGTGAGCCAACCAGATGTCCTGACACATTCCATATAAACATACAAATTTAATAGTGGCAGCAAGCCAGGTTCTAAAATCCATTGCAATACATTCTATAATTTTTACCAAGAACCAAACACAAGACTGTGGAGACAAGAACGCTTGTTATGGCCTTGTCTCAACTTGTTTTAATACATTTAATTGAAGAATCAATTTCATATGATACAAATATTTACATCTTATGGTGTATTCACTCATTGTGGTGCTCTTTATTAAAATATGTAGGACTTCAAGGTCCTAAGAATCGCGAGAGCCTACTTACATTTCAGTACTATTCAAACCTATTTCATGTTCCATTAGATCTGTATAGCTATTCAATATATACTGTGTATATCCGTATTTAACCCATTGAGCCGCAATATGCTCCAGTGCGCCCAGCTTAATGGGTTAACCAAAAATTCTGACAATGTAAACTGCCGTACTTCAGTTCTACTTCTAGAGCTAGTTAATCCATTGAGCCGCAATGCGCCCCTCTGTGCCCTACTTATTTTTTTTACTTGTCTAACGCATGACGATTTTACTTGTCAATGGGGAAGCTGTGCAGCTTAATGGGTTAAACTAGCTTTGCCATCTAGCTGGGCCATTCATGATATTAATTTTTGGCCAGTGCAGTGAACTTTTGATAACTTTATATACTGTATTATTATTGATTTGATAATGTTAATAGTGTTGTATTCAATTTTAATGCTATGTGATTATACTGCATTTTAATAATAGTAAATTTATTAATAATTTATCTATATAACTCTATATTAGTTAAAACACAGTTAAGATTGAACTGGCTGCCGAAAGACACAATATCTTGACAACCTGCTGCCGAAAGACAATTCATCTTGACAGCACAAGAGTTTTCACTATGGCTGTGTTTCACATAGTTTATACAAGCTGTTTGATTTTATTAAGTTATTTATATTATTTAAACAAGGTGTATTCAATACTCATTAATTCCTTGCATGTTAGCTACAGTATATCTTTAGAAAACACCCAATAAAAACACAGTTAAGATTCAACTGGTTGCCGAAAGACACAATATCTTGACAACCTGCTGCCGAAAGACGATTCATCTTGACAGCACAAGAGTTTCCACTATGGCTGTGTTTCACATAGTTTATACAAGCTATTAGATTTTATTAAGTTATTTATATTTATATTATTTAAACAAGGTATTATTAATTCCTTGTATGTTAGCTACCGTATATATTTAGAAAATACTGGACCAATAAAAACACAGTCAAGATCCAACTGGTTGCCGAAAGACACAATATCTTGACAATCGGCTGCCGAAAGACGAGCACAAGAGTTTTCACTAGGACTGTGTTTCACATAATTTATACAAGTTATTAGATGTTATTAAGTTGTTCATATTATTTAAAAAAGTTACTCATTAATTCCTTGCCACAACCTATTGCCAAGTTATGCCATTAATGCCCCACACTTTCCCTTTGAACACTAAAATCATCTAGCTAGCATTAGACAGAGTAAAATAACAAAGTAGAGCACATTGAAACCTAATGAATTAAATATTATCCTGGTTATCAATCTTGTTTACTTTATCCAACTTAACTTTTGATTTATACTTCATTTTGTACAGCCTCTTTAATGCATCTCAGCTGTGGATATTCTCTGCATTCAACATGGTCAATATTTTCAAAAGGGTGGGCTTTTTTGTGGGGTTAACCCTATTTGTACCGGGGGTGCGCACAATGAGCGCATCCCTATAAATATTTATCCGTCATTCCTGAACAAACGATCCGATTTGCCTGTACTTTCATGACTTTTAATATTTTCCCTCTGCCGTCATGACTGCGAAAAAAATTTTCTGAAAATTCAAAGTTATCCGGACGTTTGGCGACATTTGTCAAAGAAGGTGTCGGGGCCAAAAATGGGTAAATGTGGGTTGGACAGTATTTTTTGGCTTCAATCACTTCCCAGGTCATAAATAACATAATATAATAAGAGAACATATAAATATGGATTATTACACATGATTTGCAAAGTAAAATATCCATAATATATTATATAAAATAGTAAAATATAGTATAACATATAATATAGCATACTATACAATACTTATAATTATATAATATAAAATACTTATTTATAATATTTTTATATATTCAAATACACATACATATTTCTTTGTACCTTCAAGGCATAACATCTCCCTGCCTTTCAGCAGGAATCAAACTTGTAGGATGCATTATATATTGAACACTTTCGTACCAGAAATTCAGTTCCAAATGAGAGTAAAACTTTTGCATACAATCCAGAATGATTGCCATATTTTCAAAGTAAATATTGTGTTTTCAAAACTATACTGCAGGCTCGTATCTCGCAGCTTACCTGCCTTACACTTCATGTAACACATAGTATATTGGTATAAAACATGGCTGCCACTTCATATTTTTTCTACAAACTTTTGTTGTCGACATTTTATGTTTACACTGCAGAAGTTATGCCAAAAAAAAGTGCTAGAGTTTCAACAGAATGCACAATTGTGCATACTATGAGAATAATGGAACATTATTTATACAACAATGACACTGTCACAAAGATATGAAGGTAAAATCAGTGATGTTGAAACTTCAGTTGTATGTCTTTCCATATGGCACAGAAATGTCAACTTGGAAAGTAAAATAGTGCTGTTTATGGACATCTGAGATATGCTATAACATAAAAGTATGTCTTTTGAATGTAAAAGACCCCAAAAATATCACATCCAAAATGTTTTGTTATCTCTTTACAAAATAGAACCAAAATGGGTAAAATATTAGCTATATTCGCCATTTTCGGATAGGCGGTCATATTCATTGGGGCCAAAAAACAGCATTTTGGATGTGAATTTAACTTTTTTGTTATTTTTAGGTTAAAAGAAAGATAAAACTTACTAAAAATAAGACTTATAGGATAATAGCAGTTAATCGACAGAATTTCTGAGGGGTGCGCCCTATCAGCGCACCCCCGGTCATATCAACATGAAAAAAACCCGGGACAAATAGGGTTAATATCAGTAGCTGCATTTCCTAATTGTAATAGGATTGTGCTGCCCAATTACCTTACGGAATCTCCCGAGTGAATATACATATCACTGGCAGTTGTAACACGAGATCCCTTCAGGACTTCTGGTGCAATGTGTTTGTACACTTTCCTGTATTCCATCGCCATTGGTCAAGAGATTTCACAAACTTTCCCGAAGTCAATTAGGTATCCCTTATTTTGTGCGACCAACACATTATTGGACTTCAAGCCACAGTGGAGATATCCTCTTTGGTGCATGTGGTCAAGTGCATCAGTGATGTCAGCCATGTTGTGGTTGGCATTTCTGAAGCTTGATGTTGGTACAGTGGGTCAAATAGCAACTTGAACACTGTTATAGATGACTGTTCTCCCCAATAAATTGCATTATCAGGGAGATTAGCTTTTTGTCTAGCTGCACCCCCAAGTAACAATATGGGATACATATGTGTGACAATTTTGGCAAAAATATTGCTTCTTTACATAGCATATCAGCAGTGCTGTTAGTCAACTGCTTTTCAACAACTGTTATTCCTACTCTAATGAATTTTTTATGGAAGCAATTGCCAAAAACTCCATTCCCTATTGATTCATTGCTAATTTCCTCCAATTCTTCATGTTGAATAGTTGTAATATCCACTGTACAAGTACTTCAGTGGAATGACCCTCAAAATTTTTTTTTATATTTAAAACTAGAAATAAAGTTTAAATGGTATATTATGAAAGCCCATAGAAAAGTATTTACATTTATGTGAGTCGACATATGCTGTTGCCATGGTTACCAAGATAACAGCTCGAAACGCCTTGCAGCGGACCATTGCGCCAACGATCATAACTCGAAAGGAATTTAAGATTTGTCTATGAAACTTTGGGAAAATAATAAGCACTACCAGACCCATGCAATGAACTAAAAGATTTTAAATCAGGTAAATAGTTTCTAAGTTCTGAATGAAACAATATATGTGCCTGAAATTTAGTCATGATCAGCATGAATTTTTGCTTATAGCACAAAAAGTATTTGACCTAATGACTTCATTCTATTTCATTGCATAGCTTTTGATGAAGTAAACATCCTCTGAAAATTTTAGCCAAATCTGTTAAATTGTTTTTGAGATATCATTGTTGGCAGATTACAAACCTTGCGAAAATCGTTTATTTGAGAAAATACAGTTTAAACTTTTCATACTATGTAATTGGCTACCAAAAACACTTCATGTCCCTAAAAGTCAATAGAACTCTCCAGCACCATACTTTACTACCTCCCTCCGTTTGTTTTTGGCATACTTTTGTTTTTTCAGTCCTCTCATCACTTTACGCCTCTTTTTAACTTCGGGCGTGGATTGTGTTCTGCATGCAAAACTCTCAACTTGTCTTCAAGTTGACAAGCCACTTCTGTATACTTGCCAGGAGTAATATCCAGTAGATTTAAAAGTTCAATGATTGCCTCTTTTGCAAAATGTAGTCAGTGACTCAGTGTCTCAACATCAAGAACTTTCCCGCTATCCATCGACATAACCGTAACACGCCCTTTACATGATGAATGTCCCCTTCGTTGCCAGGTACCGACACATCAAATACCACAGTTTACAGGATTTGTTCCATCAACATCTTCATTTTGTTGCAAAACACACACTTCTTTTGCAGCTGCTTTCATGCTCTTCTTAGCAACTGTCTTTGCATGCTTAGCAACGACACGAGATGACTTCTTGAAAGACTTTGGTCTAGGTGGTGGTAGTGGCATGTTCATGACAGAGCAAACCTTTGATGCACCAGCATGACCTTTGCCAATCATTCGCATTCCATACACTAATCGTCAATTTACCTAAAAACTCTTTTGTTTATCGTTTTGAAATCCAAGACAAATGCATCCATTTGCAGTTTTGGCAAGTGAGGTGGAATTTAGAAGCACAACCTTCACGTTTGATACTATTTTCTTCCATTGTGTTGCATACATTCTGGGAAGCTAACAAATATGGAAAAAACATTTCCAATAAGTTCCATATCACAAAGCCTGAATCCATAAATGCCCTTCAGAACTTTCTGTTGAAGGTTTAGGGGTTCCTTTCTCACTGGAATTCTGCCGCACACGAGGCTGAAGCTTCTTGTAGGACACTGAAATTCCAGCTGGAATGTCGCCAACGTTGCCCTCATCAGCACTCAAAGAAACCTCGCTTTCCTCGTTATTTTCTTGCATTACTGGCTCGCCCTCTCCCTCATATTCAATACGAGAACGTTTAGTATGTCGATTGCCACAAAACTAGCGTTTTTTACGCTTCTGTGTAGCAAATTTTCCCATTTTATTTTCGCAAAATAACTCTCGATCACAATGTTAGAAAGAATGTTGTTTTTTTCGTATGCGCGTTTCGTAGGGGGCCTGGGGAAAAGCTTAGATTAGAGCCCAGTCTTCCCTAAATACCCCACGCTTTTTACGGAAAATTTTGTAAATAAATTCGCTTTTATAGGCAAAAAACAAAGGGTAAACAAATTTGTTTCCATAGCTAAACACATTTTAGGCATAAAATCATGGAGCAAGCAACATAGGAGTATATTTTGATAACATAGGCATCATATAAAACCAAAAAAAAAAAATTAATTTTTTTAAAAATTTGAGGAAAAATTTGAGGGTCATTCCACCTTATTAATTTGAAATTTAATAACTATTTATTAGTGATTTTTTTCTGTGTTGGTGTAGTGTACTCAGGTGAATATGATATTTGTGGTGTTACTCTGAGTGTATATCCACACCGGGCGAGCTTGAATATATTACTAGAATACATTGATATCGAAGGAACTAGATTCTGTTCCGAAATATCACTTACTCGAACCGTCCTGACCGCGTAGCTCAGTTGGAAGAGCATTGGGCTGGTGTTCCAAAGGTCGTAGGTTCGAATCCCACCGTGGCCGGGCATATTTTTCAAGCTCGCCCGATGTGGATATACACTCAGAGTAACACCACAAATATCATTATTTATTAGTGATTTGTATGGCCATACCAGGTTTTGTAATCAAGGGGTATTGAACTTGGTTGGGTTGATGGATTTTTTTATAGCTTTATATTTATATTTTAGTTCCTTAATTCTTATCTTAGCTAATAGTGTGACCAACAAACCCTTTGATATAGTTTACAGTACGTCATGATTCTCTTCTTGGCAGGAAGTCTCATTCTCAAAAATTGTAAGGGAATTGGTGAAATTGCCTTTCATCTTGAATCGTAAGAATGAGGCTTCCAGGCAAAGGTAATGAATATATATATATATATATGTATATATATATATATATCTATATATATATATATATATATATATATATATATATATATATGTATATATATATATATATCTATATATATATATATATATATATATATAGCCAATTCAAAAAAGGTGTCCTTTCCAAACCTTAAACTATAAGTGTGCAAACCTTAATGGGAGTACAAGTTGCAACTTTCAAGCTTAGTAGTTGAATATTGCAGCTACTTGTGAATGAATTGTTCTCGTAAGGAGATGCTCACCATGTCTCTAAGAAATGGGCTTCATCTATGATTTATAAACAGATTAAATGATGCTGGGCCTCCCATTATGCATTGCACGTTTAGAGTTTAAGGTTTCAAGTTTAAGGTTTGCAAAGGACAACCTTTTCTGAATTAGCTATATAAATATAGGTAATGACATATTGATATGGACATACTGTAAACCTCTGAATATAAGCCCTGGGCTTATATTCGTTTGTACATGTTTTTTGATGGGCTTGTACACAGGGGAGCTTATATAAAGGGGGGGGCTTATACATGGACAACATTTTGTGTTAGTGTCATAGTGATTTTTGTGTTAGTGTATAATAGTGATAAACAAGTATAGTAATAGTGATAAACAAATATGGGGGGGGGCATATATTTGCAATGGTGTGTATGTTAGTAATGTGATGGGTTTGTAGATGGGGGTATTCAGGGGGGCTTATTGTCAGAGGTTTACAGTATTTATATACTGTAGTTATATTTATGCACATTTAAATGCATATATTTATGCACGTTTGAATGCATATGATATGTAAGGCATTTGATGGATTTGTGTTTCCCCACCCTCTGGAATTTGATCGACACCATCTCCCGAGGAATTGAGCACCATCTTGTATCCTAAGGAAGAGCACATGTTGAGGACTGGGACAAACAACTTTCAAGCCTTTCACCACAAATTTATGTGCCCAACAATGGGGAATTTGATCACATTTGACTGATATTTGCTTCCCCATGCTAGAGAATTTGACCAAAATATTGTATGAAAAATCAAATGACCGACCCTCCCACCAAGGGGCTTAACATCAATAGGTGCATTAATAAAAGGATTGATGAAATGTATTTGTATTAAAAATTGAGTATACCTTAGTAATGCTTGCCCTGTTGTTCAACTTAGTTTGTAATTTTTCGTTGACGTCTACACTTCTTCCCCAAATTTGTAATATTTAAAAACAATGCTCCCGTGCTGGCCAGCCCAGCCAGCTTGACTCAGCTTTTGCTTTGACATCATGAAGTGCATCTTCTAATTCTTAATACTATGAGCGCCGCGCGCTTCAACTGCAATTTCTGATGTTGCTTTCTCTTCTTACTGCCATTGCGCATCTTTCTTTTCTCCTCGATTGTATGTCGCATGCTGAAATTTACCAAAAGATTCGAATATACGCTCTACGTTTTCAAGAATGCTGCAGATCGATCCTTCGCGCGAACTGCAAATATTGGCGCCTAATATTTCTACATCATTGGTTTTCCCTATATGGAAGTGTTGCCTATATAAGGAATATGGTTACCTTAGCAACCGTACAGTGCATTTCTGCATAATTGATATTTTTAAAGGGAATTCGTTCATGCAAAGAGGTTTTTGTCGTTGTAAAATGTGTTTAAATATACGTATGGATAAATAATTAATTTCGGATATTTTCAAAATACTTAGAGCTGGCACGATCGTGGACGTGACGTAATCAATACATACTGACAATACCGCCTTACGTGGGGTGGGACAGCATCAAGCGAGAAATTATCGTCGAATTTGATATCCTGTCCCACCCCGAGTAAGGCGGTATTGTCAGTATGTATTGATTACATCTCACGTCCACGATCGTGCCCGAGCACCTCTTGAAACGGATGCAAATACTCGTCTATACAAAATGTGCAAAGACTTAATTTGAACCAAATTGTTTTGCGATGTATTGTCTTTCCCTTGTAGTAAAACCCCCACCCTGGAGTTCAAAGGGATGCCGCCAATGACGTCACATGGCTCTGGAAGTAATTAGCATGCAAAATATATGACGTCACTCGGGCAAGCGTGGGCCAAATGTGACAGGTAACGCGACTAATTAACGCGGGCAAGTCTGAGCCAAATGAAATGTGACAGGTAATGCGACCAATTAGTATCCAAGGTTATCACTATAGCAATGGTGGTAACCCTAGATTTGTCACCCCCGAGGGCGTCATATGATTTATTCATCAAGTTAACTTGACAAGAACAAGATCAGGCGACGCCCGGGCAAGCCTGGGCCAAACGTGACAGGTAACGCGACCAGTTGGCATCACAATATGAGAGTCGTGAACTATAACGTATCTTGAACTATTTGTGGTATGGGGATCAAGACCCATTAGAGTTGATTCCTGCAGCATTATTTAGCAAACCTCATAGACATAGGAAAGAAAGCTTATCAAGAATACTTGAAGGATAAACTTTTAGACCAGTCATAATATATCTTGCCATAAAAAATAAATATGTTTTTATCAAATATGCGGTCGTTATTAACGTTGCTACCGAGATAGGCGAAAACCTGGCTAAAAGTATTCCTATAACTGATGTCAACCCAATATCTTATATTAACTCTACAAATAGTGCGTTTTCCTTCAAGACAATTGAGGTTAATTATGTTAAAGATTTGCTTGGAAGGATAAATACAAAAAAAAATCTTGTGGTCTCGACAACATTCCATGCAAATTACTGAAGTTAGCAAGGGATGTTGTATCTCCTTCCCAGACGCATATATTTAACAAATCACTTTGCACTAGCATATACCCAAAAGAATGGAAAATCGCCAATTTCACACCTATCTGTAAAGATGGTGCCAAACACGACCTCAACAATTATCGTCCAATCTCAATTATTTCAGCCTTTGCAAAATTATTTGAAAGTATTATTCACGACCAATTTGATTACTACTTAACGTGCAATAAATTACTGACTAAATGTCAGTCTGGATTCCGAACAATGCACAGTACGGTCACTGCACTGCTCGAAACAACGAATAGGTGGTCGATAAATATCGACAATGGACTACTCAATGGTGTAGCTTTTATCGACTTAAAAAAAGCTTTCGATACTACTGATCACGCAATTCTTCTGGATAAACTTGCTCAATACGGGGTTGATGAAAACGCATTAACATGGTTCCACTCTTATCTAACCGATCGTACACAAAGATGTTGTGTAAATGGACATATATCTAGTAATCGACCAATCACTTACGGTACCACCCAAGGTTCAATAATAGGTCCCCTTTTATTCTTGGTCTATATCAATGACTTGTCAAACTGTCTGAACAATGGCTTATCGAGCATGTACGCGGATGACACAAATATTAGCTTTCAAAGCTCTAATCTTTCTGATCTTGAAGAAATTATGAACACCGAGCTGAGTAGCTTAAACACCTGGCTCAATGCGAACAGATTAAGCTTAAATATTACTAAAACTGAATTCATGGTCATTGGCTTTCGACAGAGGCTGATGTACCATGATGTTAACAATCTTAATATATGCGTAGATAACACTTAAATTAAAAGAGTACAGTATACGAAATCCTTAGGTGTAACAATTGATGAAAATTTAACTTGGGAGAACCATATTGATACTATCTGTAAAGAAGTATCCTCAGGAATTGGTGCCCTCAAACGAGTGAGGCGATTTGTAAACAGGGAAATTGCAGTGAAAGCGTACAAAGGCTTAATAGAATACTACACAGAAGTCCATCTTCATTGTTTTTTGCGTAAGTTCTATTCGCCATGACTCGTCACTCAGCAATTACCGTAAACAGAAGCAGTCACCCCCTGGACATGCGCCATTTTTAGTATTTCCAGGGGGGGGTTACTGCTTCTGTTTACGGTGCTTGCTGAGTGACGAATCATGACGAATAGAGCTTACGCAAAAAACAATTGAGATTGAGTTCTGTGTAGTATTATGTGACCATACAGAAGTCCATCTCTATTGTTTTTTGCGTAAGCGTTATTCGTAATCATTCGTCACTCAGCAAGTACCGTAAACAGAAGCAGTAACCTCCTGGATGTGTGCCATTTTTAGCATTTATTTTTACTATAAATACGTCACAAACTGTTTACTTTTTCATCCAATTGAATCACATATTTTTTTTGAATATATGACGAATGAAATAACCTCTAGCATCCCGCAGGGAGACAACAAAATTTTCTCCAGACCATGAAATGTTTCTGCAAATTTTTCAGCTTTCCTGAAGTATTGAAAATAAAATTTATGTGCGGGTATATAGAAAAATTATCGGAGTTCAATGTGGTATAATTTTTTATCATGTTTGTTTTACGTGTGCCAAGTATTTTGCGTTTTGCCGAATTCGTATATTCGTCAGTTGCGATATAGTTGCCAACCTTAGGTATATTCTATATATAAGAACAATGCTTTTCCTTGAGTGCTTGCGGCGCGCGACAAATAACAGAGGAATGGGGCGAGCTTAATCCAAATTGGCATTTGGTGCATTCTACACGCCGTTTTGGGCTGACAATGCAAAATACGAGAAAATATTATTTTTTAATTAAAAATACTGCCAAAACCAGGGGGGTGAAAACGTCGTCTGAAGCTCAGGTTTGCGGTTGGTCAGTGGCAACTGCGTGGAAACTTTGTGATGGAAATGGCGTCAGCAAACGTCAAAATTCGCCATTTTTTTGGCTTCACTTCGTTGACTGAACGAAGTATAGAAGCAGGTCCTACAGTTATTATACAGCTCTGTGGACATGACATGTACTCGGGAAATGCTCATTAAATTACATTTTTGTCACTGTACTGGCGTTTTAGAGCGAAATCATTTTCAGGACTTTCGTTCCGGATTCAGGTTTTGGCACATATGCCAAAATAGTTAAGATTATTCCTGCTAAATGAAACGCATACAAACTCATGTACTGGTCCTAAACTATACGTATAGTCAACGGAAATATTATTAACCCTTTCCTGCATAATGTTGCTCTGCAGCAACAATCTTTTTTTAGCTAGTAATAGCTGTGGATAATTATATTTTTAAATGGGCTCCTGTGGTTTCAAAAAGGCAGTCACATACATTAATTATGCATGCAACTTCGTGTATGAAAATATTACATGAAGTACTTCTTGTCAAAAATTCATTGACCATAAACAAAATGGCGGATTATATCATTGCTCGAAGTTGAATGATTGTTTACACTGGGGTATGCTATTTTTCTTTCATTGTAAAAATATTGTTTGATAAATTTGGTAACATTTTGAATATTGATCAATGTTTTTGTAAAAATATTATGTTTTACCGTGCATAAGATCTCGATTTTGGATTGTTGCTCCAGAGCAACATCATGCAGTAAGGGTTCTGAGAAGTCATGACTAGGCCACATGCGGAATTCGATGTGTAGTTGAAAATACCACAATATTTTATCCTGTGAGAGTTTGTCTGAATGTTTACTTGTTGCCAAAGCCGTTTTATGAAAATTTTTCATTTCTTCCCTATATATTTATTCAATCATTCATTTTATTGGCATTTTATATTGTAAATAGCAGAAATATAGCTCATAGTATACCAACAACTTCATTTTATGGAAGTTCTACCCAGAGGATAAGATATAGCAATAATGGAATGAAGGTAGAGACCAGACAGACCAAGGTAATTTTGCCAAATAGGGATAATAGGGAAGTCGAAGATGGAGATGAGGTTGATAATTTTGACAATATGTCGGGT